TTTAAATGGGAACTTATTTCATTTTAAAATTAAGGATTTGTTTCATATGAAATAATTTATTCATTTTTAAATTGGGGAATTATTTCATAATGAAATAAGTCCCCAAATTTAGGTAGTTATTTCATTTTTGTTTTGGGGAGTTATTTCATGACGCCATTTATTTGTATTTTTTACAAATACTACTGCAGATAACTTCATGAATTTTGTCACAGATATAACTCTTGGTGCCAGGATCAACGTTATTAAAAATCGGTTCACAATTCCATATACCTCCCATACAAATGTACATATTCCGTGAAATGAATTTATTGTTAATAACTTCCGTTATAATGCCGATATCTTTACAAAATTAAGTCTTATGCCAATAGAATTCATATAAAGAAACAATTTTCTGAATCGGTCCATAATTGGTCGTAGCTCCCATATAAGGTTCCCTTCCGAAAATCACTTAAACGCACATATCTCATTACCAAATAAAGATATCCATACAAAATTTAGCACAAACATTGCTTTTATATACAGAAATGATACTGTAAAATTTGTTTACGATCGGTCCGTAATTTGTCGTAGCTCCCATAAAAGGTCCCTTTTTGAGAATCACTTAAACGCATATTATTCATTAAAGATATCCATACAAAATTTGGCACAAATATTCCTATTATCTACAGAAATCTAACTATAATTTTTTTCACGATTGGTCCGTAATTTCTCGTAGCTCCCATACAAGATCCCCGTTCGAGAATCACTTAAACGCATATTACTAATTACCAAATAGTGATATCCATAAAAAATTTGGCACAAATATTTATTGTTAAATTTTGGCACACATATACTTAGTTTGGGGATCCACTGTGTTAAAAATCGAAATCGGTCCACAATTTCTTGTACCACCCATAGGAAGTAAAAAAAAAAATGATTATTTTTCGCAAAAAAATTAAATAAAAACTGTCCAAAACGAACAGGATTCGAACTTAAAATCTCCCAGTTGCTAGTTCTACGTCATATTAACTAGCTTCTTAACTGTTTGCAACTAATGATCACATAGAAATTTCTTTCCTGTTTGTGTAAAAAATTGTTGCTAACCCAAGATCAAACAAAATATGCACATTGAGAAAGTATAACTGTTTAATTTTTATGCTATTCAGCAACATCAGTGTTAATAAAAGTTATTCAGCAGCAATGTTTTGTACAAACAGAAAATAACATCTCATTTGTATATGAAAACAAGTAAGAAAGTATAGTCGGGCGAGACCGACCATATGATACCCTACACCAGTTATGAATATTAAATGTGATTTATTTTTCATAATAAAGCATTTATCTTCAATATTCCCTTGTTCCGATACATTTAAGCTATTTATGGATGAGAAACTAATTTATATGGGGGCTAGGGGCAAATATGGACCAAGCCCGATAAAATTATGTGAATATATTTATATTTACATAATATTTTATTGTGCTGAATTTCATCGCGATATTTGTGTTTATAAGTTAATTTGGGACATTCAAGTAATTTTCTGAAGGGGACCTTATATGGGAGCTAGGGTCAAATGGGGCCCGATCTTTATGAAATTTGGCAGAGTCATCAAGACTTCTATAAAACTTAGTTGTGCAGTATTTTATCGATATATCTGTATATTTAACATAATTATTAGCTCAGAAGCCCTTTTCGGGGGGTTCTGTTCTATGGGGGCTAGGTGAAATAATGGACCGATTTTAACCATTTTCAATAGGCTTCGTCCTTGGGTCAAATAAAACGTGCGTGCCAAATTTAATTCAATTATCTTGAATTGCGACCTGTACCTTGCGCACAAGGTTTACATGGACAGCCAGACGGACGGACATAGCTTAATCGACTCAGAAAACGATTCTAAGCCGATTGGTATACTTTAAGGTGGGTCTAGGACGAATATTTTTGTATGTTACAAACATCAGCACAAATCCAATATACCCTCCCCACTAAAGTGGTGTAGGGTATAAATATTAGTTAACGAAAGACAAAATAATGCAGTGGTGTAGTGGATGGAACGGATAATTAACAAACTGAACGTTGCCGGTTCGATTCCTGGTCGATTTAATCTTTTTTTGTCATAATTAAATTAAAAAAATCAAATTAAATAACGAAATTCTGTTCAACTATAAAAATTTAAAAGCAAAATTTTTAAAATATTTTTCATAGGATCAACAATATTGAAAAACTATTGTACCTCCCAAAAAAGTTTTATAACTGATCATATTGCCATACATTTTTCTCACAAATAGAAATTATTTTAAATACATAACATTTGTTAAATTTAATACGCTCTGTAACATTCTGTTAAGTGGTAGTTTTGTTTTTAATTGCATATTCTAAGGCGTAATGAAAGTAAGAGTAAAATGTTAAGGTACTACATAAATTATGTATTAGTCTTTTATTACCTCAAATTGTTCAAAACAATTATTACTTACAAGAAATATGTATAATGTAACTGGGAATAAATATTTATAGTCCTGTATTACTAAATTACTAACGAAGCTTTTAAAATTGTCCTATTACATTCAAAATATGTAAATTTACGAGAAGAACATCTAAATATTGCACCAAAACCAGACAAAATTATGAATCCACTTTTCGTGCTTCATCATTTATTTTATCCTCATCCTCTTCTTTGTCACTATTTGCGTTTTTCGCAGTATTGCCTTTATCCTTTGGATTTTCCTTATCTAAACGTTCATGTTCACTTTTTATTAACTCTTGTAATTCATCCTTCCAGCCTAAAGCATCTGCCAAAGCCAGGCAGCCATCATCACAATCGCCAATATAAGCGATATCACGGGTATTTTTGGGATTATCAAACATAAGTCCGGGACCACTCATAAACCAAGAACTTATACCCCCGAAATCATTACCAACTTTAGTGCGATTGATTAGCAAACGTACACACTTTGAGTTGGCACGATCAATGAGCGAGGCAAATGGTTGTACCTCCAACGAAGTGCCCATTATGATGAGCAAATCACATTTATTGAAATCTTTGGCTGGTAGTGTATAGAATTTCTCGGGCAGATTTTCACCAAAGAAAACAATATCAGGTTTAACCACACAATTGCATACAGTACAAGTGGGTACACTATCCGCAAAAATTTGTTCCTTCATCCATTCCATGGAGTATAGCTTACGACAACCCAAACAATGATTGGTAAAGAAAGTTCCATGAGCCTCGACCAGTTTATCATCAGGCAAACCAGCAATTCTCTCGAGAGTATCGATATTTTGGGTATAATGACGTAAGAGCAAACCTTTATCATGTAAAAGTCTTACAAAATAATGTGATGGTGTGGGATTGAAAGAACCGGGATAAAGTTCTTTAGCTAAAGCAAAGAACGGCTGAGGATTCTCTTCAAAATAATCCATTTCAAAGATGGCCGAAGGATGTGGTAAATTATATTTTTGTAAATTGTCATATAAACCAGAGCCAGGCGAACGAAAATCGGGAATACCAGCCGCTAAAAGTAGTGAAACATAAAATAATGGAAATTTAATTCGACAAAAAAATACTTACATGTCGATATACCAGCTCCCACCATAGTTATAATATTTTTAAAACCTTTAGACTTCCAATGATCACACAAACCCTCAAATGTTAAATTTTCAATTACCTGATTTAAAAAAAAAATGTTTAAAGATTTTTGTTATTTAATTTTTATTTTATTTGTATAAAAACCTTTTTGGAGGAGCCATCTTCTTCATCCAGAGTTGTTACTAAATTAAGTTTTTGAGAAAAAAATTTCCTAATGGCTTCCATTGTATTATCATCTGGAAAAAGCAATCATATTAATCTTTTGTATATAGGGATTCATTTTCCCACTATTCATTTGGGGGTCCCGTTTGCATTGAAAAAAAATAAGCTACTGATGTTTCCACCGAAAAGTAAAATGAGTGCATAATATGACAATTTTTTGCTAGTTCAAAAATATTGAAAACGAAACGGTTTTTTTTCGTTTTTCGAAATTCGATCTAGATCAAAATGTTGCACTAGTTTAAAAAAATCGGGTAGAAATAAAATGATATCAAAAATAAAAATCTCTTTATTCAAGTTTTGGCGTTTAGAAAGAAAAATTAAAATTGTTAGTCAAACATCGGACACAGTTTTCAGTTTTTTAAATGACATTGTGTATGTCCGTTAAACTACAATATTTGTTCTATTGTCTAATGAAATCATATATATCTATGAAAAGCTTAAGAAATTACGCGTAGTGATATACATACATACTATGTATATTTTATGTTAGTCCTGATTAAATAGTTAACTCAACATCAGCAACTACTATTTCGGGACCACCCTACTGTTCATGTCTGACAGCTATGTTTTGTTTTTAACATGCTTTTTTTTGCTGCATTTACTAACCTGTTTCTTCTTTCTCTCGTTCTGATAGACTTTCTTTGTTTTCATTTTTTGACGATGTTGGTTTTTCTTCACTCATATTTATCAATTGTACAATTTCACGTCGTTGTAATTGATAATTTTTTAACAATTGCTTAGTAATTTGTACTCTGGAACGTAGTAAGGACGCCGTTTTGGTTAATTTCTCAATTAAACGATTTACCAAAGAAAATATTTACTTTACCAACAAGAAGAAAAATACCAAGCAAATGAAAATAACACAACAAATGTCAAAATAAATCAAAATGGTGTTGCCAGTTTTATAATACATTCGTCAATTATATATCAAAGCTGAATGTTGTAGAATTAAGCACACATTAATGGAATTTTGTAAATTTTCTTATATTATATAAGTAATAGATTGTTGTTAAAATGTAAATAAGTAAAGTTCGTAATGTTTCATTTTACCAAAACAGCATGTTTTTTAAAAAGTTTACTCTCAATTCGGCACTGATGACTTTCTTAATTGCTGTAAATAAGCGGCAAAATATCAACTCTGAAATTTCACTACCCATAATTACATCTCTGTAAAACCACGCTTTTTTCTTAAAATGCAACTCTACAATGTTGTTTTTAAAAACTTGACAAATTGACCAACCCAGCTGTTTGTTTTCTTTTCCTGAAAATTTTTTTGTAACCAACTAAAATCCTTGAGAAAAGAAAATTATTTAATGAAAATTTACAAATAAATGCATAAAAACCCAGTAAATTTATTGATTTTCGATAATAAGTGCCGTTAAAGTTGCGAATAAAGTGAAAACATGTTGAAAATCAAGTGAAATGTGAGCAAAAGAAAAAAACGTGAAATCACAGACAAAACGAAACTCTCTATTGGAAGAAGAAAAACAAGCACACACGTTGCCACAGTGGCAGTAATAATAACGAAAACAAGACACACAGCCAGCCAGTCAGTCAAAAAGTGAAAAGGGGTAAGTTTGGCCACTTTCTCGTTGAGTTTTCTAAATGAATGTGTTTTTAAAATATATTTTTTTTTATTTACTGAAGTTTTTCTTGATTCGAACCGTCCAACTGGGACCGTATTGCGTTAATTTGTACAAGACTCGAATAGGAGAGGAAGCGACGAATCGCAAAATACCTCATGCAAGATGCATCTCAATCATGCTACAGCTGTAAGTGCGGCCGCCATGGTCAACTATCAACACTATGCACCGGCACAAATAACGACATCGCACGGCGTGACCACGTCTTCGGGTCAACAGCAAACAACAATATCTGCAGCTGGCCTGCAGCAAGCACCCTTTACGCTGCATCAATTAACAGCGGTACAAGCCATACAACATCCCACACACCAAGCCATGCTACATCCACAACACCCATTGGTTCATTTACTGGACATTTCAACAACGGCGGCAGCTTCCTCATCGCTTAACAATAATCCTGCACCCATCACTCCGATGCCAGTGACAAAAATTGAAATGCCCGAAGAGATAGTCGAGCCGATAATCGACGATCCACGCAAAAAGAAACAGTGCCACATTTGTAAAAATAAATTTCGCCAGTTGACCACACTGCGAAATCACATGAAGATACACACCGACGAAAGACCCTACAAGTGTAAACATTGCGACAAGGCCTTTCGTCAGATATCAACACTTACGAATCATGTCAAGATTCACACTGGCGAGAAACCATTTAAATGCAATATATGTTCTAAGGACTTTCGACAACAATCGACATTAATAAATCATATTAAAACGCATAAGGGTGAGTAGTAAATAAAAGTCTATTGAACTGATGGTTGTTGTTGATGTTCGTTCTTGCTTCTCCTACTGCTACTATCTACCCATCTACCTCATCCGTTTAAAACTGAAATGAATGGTTATCATTATTTTATTATTGTTTTGTAAAGAAAATAGTCTTGTATTGGCATTTATTATTTTTCGCTTTATTTAATTAATTCCATTAAATCATCATTTTATACATGTATGTAATAACATTGTTCCATGTTTCACTTTTTTTAAATCGCATAATAACACTTTTTATTTTTTTAAATCGCTTTAAGTTTTTAAGATCGCTTTAACATGAAAAACATTCTTTAACAATTACCATGCAACATTCTATAATTTTAATTTTTAGTCTTAAGTTATTTGTTTTTTGTCTGCTTAAGATCGTTTAGATCTTTTATTATTGATACAACGTATTCTATGTAGATTATAGCTTTTAAACCACTTTTTGTTTACAAAAATAAATAAATATTATATATTATTCTCAGGAATAGTCCATTAGAATTACATCAAAATCTACTTTTGATTATGTAATTATTTAGCTTGCATATTTTTGCTAAATTTTGTACAGAGTTCTAAAATTTTTACTTAAAAACTCATAAATCATTCAAAATATGAAATTTATAATAAGTCTTTATTGAGAGTAATGAAAAAATCGAATAAAATATCTTATCGATTTTATTCAAAAAAGTGTTGATTTGTTTCCAAATATCAACCGAAGAAATGAACCAAGAAGTATTTTTATTTAAAACATTTCAAAAATTCTAAAAAAGTGTTGTAATAATTTAACAACTTCAAAGCGCAAGTTGTCCTCACACTCTTTCCAATCAAATACAAATTCAATTTCAAAAAAATACTTAATGCATCAGTTTTAAAATCTTAATCCATGACTCGTTTAAAAAAAAAAAAGTTTAATTAAAAAGAAGTTCATACAATATAATAGGAAATATGAAGCTATTTTGAGATGTTACGAAAGTAAGAAATTGCTTTGTAACTTCCTTTCTTTTTTAAAAATGTTTTTAAAGCTACGGCCAAAATGATAAAATCTGTGATCACTTGTATTTCCTACTAAAACTAGAATTTTGAGTGAAAACTTAAAAGTCCATTTTCTGGCTTAACTAGAAGAGCTACGGACAAAAGGATGAAAATCTTGTATTTTACAAAGTAATTTCGTAAAATACATGATATATTATTTTTTCCTAACAAATAAGTACATTTTACTAAACAAATTTAATTTTACACTGAAAGAAAGAATTTCTTTTAAAATAACAACCGAAATGCAACAAAATAACAAGGATTTATATTGTTAAATTCTATTACATTGTCGATAAAGAGGTTCTCAAATTGAACTTGGTGACAAATGCCACGCTTTATAAAATACATAAATTTCGTCGATAAAACAGTTTATATAAATTTAAGTGGAATTTAAGAAAATAATTCTAAAAGGAAAAATCTTGTAACAAATAAGGAATTAATTTTATTTATGGGTGATTTCCTTTCATGTGAACCAACTTTTGCAACTAACGTCTTCTAATCGGGATGAAATTTGCAACTAGGTTAGTTCTATTGGATAGTAGTTTACGCAGATTCAACAAGATCTCTCAAGAACTCTCTAAGTTACAGTGGGTCAAATGTGGGCATTTTTGCTATTATTTATTCTTAGCAAAAATTTGTCCAAATTGAAAAAATAATTAAAATTTTATATGCAAAATCAACAATTTTTTGTATTTTTATTTAAAATGGTGCTTCACCTTTAAAATCTTAAAAATGTTAAATGTGACGTTATGCAAAATATGTAAAAGCATTTGTTATCAGTTATAAAATATTTATTTTAAAAGATATCACATTCGTATCCCAATAAGCGACCAAAAAGCTCTTAAAGGAAAAAACCATTCTTTACCGTTAAAAAATTCAAAAGAGATTTTGTAATAAAAAGTCTATTTTTTTTCTAATTGCGGCAGATTTTACCACACATTTCTAAAACAATAGCAGAAAAAATCCTAATCTTATATTGCATGAATTTCCTTAAAGAAACAGTTCTTTCAGAGTTGTTGAAATGGTGCTTAAACAACATAGTCTGAATTATTACATGAAATCAACAACAAGTACTACAACAGTTATTATAGATCATTTAATTAAGCCATTCATTTCATTTACAACATTCTCTTCCATTTAACTAAATAAAAATAAATAATAAAATAATATTTAATTTTGTGTTTTCAGTTTTTGCTTCACTTGCAGAATCGAATCAAACGCCAGCAGCGATACTAAACTATCAGACGCAACAAACGCAGGGTACTTCACGCAAGGGTCACTCAAAAACGATTGTACATTCAGCAGCAGCTGCTGCTGCCCAAGCTCAACTAATACATCAACAACAGATGCAACAGCAGCAGCAGCAGCAACAACAGCAACAAGGACAGGGTACAATTGTAACGTATACGCCACAGCAAAGGCAAAACATAACGAAGAGCCTGTATACGGGCAGTTACAATTCACCGCAGGCCGATGAGCTGGTCAAGCCGTATCAGTGTAAAATCTGTCAGAAACGTTTCCCACAATTAAGTACCCTGCATAATCACGAACGTACGCATATTGATCCAAAACCTTATAAATGCGATACATGCGAAAAGTCATTTAGTCAATTGGCAACATTGGCAAATCATAAGAAGATACATTCGGGTGATAAGCCCTACGCTTGTGCTTATTGTTGCATGACGTTCCGGCAACAGAGCACCCTAAACAATCACATGAAGACACATGCCAATCAAGTGGCCACCATAACAACTAACTCTACAACAGCAGGCACAGGTGAGGCGCTTGTTTTGTCGCCGTTCCACTGAGTTGAAAAAAAGTAAAATTGAACTTTATTTACGCTTAACAAAAAACTTTATTTTGAATTTTTACACGCTAACCATCAACACCAACAACAATGACAACAACATCAACAAAATGTAGGAGGGGGAGGATCAGTTGTACAAGTAGGTAACCACCATCATCCCCACCACCATCAGGCGGGCGGTAATAACATCCCTTTAGCTGCAGCTACCATAATGGTGACACCGACCGCTTCAGGACACCTACAAATACAGCCACAAGTTGAACATCATCCCTTGTTACACTTTCTAGACAGCAATACAACCGTCAGCACTCTGAGCACAAAGGAGCAGTTTGCAACGGTAAACAACAACAACACTACTAATAATAACCACAACAACACAACCACCACAAGTACTGGAGTTGTGCCCCACTGTTTGCGCAACAGTTGTCCAGATCGTCCATTTATGTGCAGTGTCTGCCGTCGGACATTCTCGCAACAGAGCACACTGACAAATCACTTGAAGACCCATACCGGTGAAAAGCCCTATAAATGTAAAATATGCGAGAGTCACTTCAGACAATTGTCCACATTAAATAATCATATGAAAATACATACGGGCGAGAAGCCCTATGCTTGTTCCTATTGTCCTAAGCAATTTAGACAAAAAAGTACACTAACAAATCATGTACGTATTCATACTGGCTGAGGCAGAGTCGAAGGAGAAGAATCATACTAAAAACTTCTTTCAATTTCACAGAAACACAATAACATCTCATTCAATCACACACTCATCTAACTTCACGCATACGCATTACATACATATGCATATGTAGTAGTACTACTATACGCGTATAGTGTACAATTTGCGCTAAGGAGGAGGCAGGCGCGGGGGGTTCGTATTAAAATTATAGTTATAATGATTCCAAGAATTCATTAATTGACATATTTCATTGTTTTGTTTTTTTTTTTTGTTTTTCTTACGTTTAGATGGTTATAAATAATCCTTGTTGCAGCAGTTGGAAATCATTTAATTTTGTAAATATATCAATGAAATTGTATGTAAATTAAATATTTATACGTACTACATACACAAACATACGAACTTATATGCATATACATACATATACTGGCTTTAAATCATGTAACAAATTTAAAATTTAATTTTAAAATCATTTTCCAATTGCAGTTAATTCTATAAGAATTAATTAACAAAATTAATCATTTTAATTGCGATAAATCAAAAACAAACTAATTGTCACTTGTCACAAATCATAAACCCCCCTCTGGCCAATATCCTATAAAACTCACATCTATACATACATCTTGCTATACATACTAAATACATCCTTAGAACAAAACCAACAACAAACGATAAGATAAGAAACAAATTATTATCTTCTTAGTAAACTAGAAGTTACTGTTTTTCTTTAGAGAATTTCTTAGAAATTCGTTAAAACTAAATTTTAGGCTTAGAATTTTGATGTTCGTTAAAACTAAATCTCTTTCCTCTCCCTCAGAGACAAAACAAAAAAGTAAAAAACACACAAAAAAAAACTAACAAAAAATCTATCTAACTAGGGTATACAAAAAGAAGCTTCTTCTTCTCTTTCAAAGACACAAACTGCTGTGCAGCCATACTCTACAAACTACATACATACATGGTTACAAAAAAACTCTTGGAGTTAATTGAAAAATTGCTCTCTTCTTGTGTAATAATAAATTAAAAAAACAAAATAAATACTATTATAAAAATAAATAAATACAGGGTGTTAAACATTTTACTTTCCTTTTTCTACTACTATTTTGTTGCTGTCTTTTATAAACTTAAGTTTAAGTTTATTGTTTAAAATTTTACTTTAATAAAGTTTAAATTACTTGGTTTTTTTCTACACTATTTTAGTTATTTTCCCTATATTATTTAAATTAAATAAACTTTGCTTTTTAACAAACATGTTTTATTTTATTTTATTAAATAAAACTATTTAGTTTTAAATTTATTTTAAAGTACATTTGTTAGTAACTATTACTGCAACTACTACTATAGCATAGATTTATGCCGAAAAATCATAAAACATAATAAACATCAGAGTAAAAATTGAACAAGAAAATATAAAATCATTGAACAATTAATAAAAAAAAAACTATATGGAAATATAAAAATTTAAACAAAAATATATATATAAATAAAGTATTTTATCATGTATAATTTTTTTTGTAATGATTTTTTTATACGTTGAATTTTTTGAAAAACAACAACAATAATAATTGATAATGTACTTAAAATTAAAAAAAAAGAAGTATATAAAAATTATAATAAACGTTTAAAAATAAAGTATGTTTACAACATAAAAATTCACATTGAAATTTGTTTTTTGGGGAAATTTATTGAAATTGTTTCAAATACAACATCTTAACTCCGATATTCATAATCAACATTTTATTTTATTTAAAAAGGTTTATGAAGCAAAATGTCCATATATAATTTCATTTTTAAACTTTTTATAAAATATACAGATTTTATTATGAATAAGAACTTAAGTAGTTTTAGTTATTATTCATTTAGTTTGGCATTTAGACTAATAACTTTTATTCGAAACTGTTATATACTGTTTTGGAATTTGTTCTTTCATTAAAGGGTTTCGTTCGAAATCGTCACCTATTGAAAATCATATCACTCTAAGGAACAGTTCCAGATTTTTATACATATACATACATATATTTTTAAAATTATCAATATTGGAATCAGTTTTTAGAAACAGTTGAGGGATTTCTATCTCTTATTATATTTTTTAGAACCCCTAGATATCACCGTAATCAAAATCTTAAATAATTCAAATTTATTTTTTTAACTTTGGAACAATTTTTTGAAATGAAAAAAAATAGAAAATGTTAAAACAGAAAATGAAGCGATAATTGTCTAAAAGCTACTAGTACTATTACTAGAACAGCAGACACTAGTACAAACAATTTTAGTATGTAAGAACGTCTGTTAAAATTAAAAATTGCAGTGATCATATTAAACTTGGGTTTAATATATATTTTATCGTACTCAAATGTATTTAAGGCGATACCTGAATGTAATTTTGAACATTATATAACCCACGCTATTAACGTTGGTGATACGGATAGAAACCAGAATTTCTACAAACTTTCAATTTACATCGTTAGGTAAATGTATTTACAAATTTTTAGTGGGGAGGGTATATTGGGTTTGTGCTGATGTTTGGAACGCACAATAATATGGGTCCTATACCCACCTTACATTATACCAATTGGCTTAGAATCATTTTTGAGATAATTCAATGAAATTTGGTACATGATCATCTATTGTCTCAGTGACGAAGTCTATTTATTGAAAATTCAGCTAGCATTAATTCACCTAGCCCCCATACAACTGAACCACTGAAAAGGCCTTGTAAACCTTGTACTAATAATTCAATGAAATGATGATCTAGAGACGAATCCTATTGAAAATGGGTAACATCGGTCCAATATTTGACCTAGCCCCCATACAACAGAACCCCCTGAATAGGGCTTTTAAGTTCATAATTATGTTCAATAAACTCGTATCTCGACAAAAAGCTGCAAAACCAAGTTCTATACCGGATAAATGACCCTGATTAATTTTTTTGATGAAAGGGCCTCATTTGGCCCTCGCCCCTATAAAAAGCCCCCTTCGAAATATGGCTTAAATGTACACAATTTCATTCAACAAAAAATGGCTAAAGTATATCTGTGACAAGGTACAATTCAACTTAAATGCTTTATTATGAACACTTAATAACATTTTATTTTTATAACTGGTGTAGGGTATTATATGGTCGGCCTTACCCTACTATAACTTCTTACTTGTTTTATTTAAATTAAATTTTTATAAATAAAGCTAATATAAAAACAAATATTGTAGTAATTTTCATATGGAACCAGACTGTAGGATTACAAAGGAGCAAAATCACCAATTATGGGGACTAGCATTAGAACTAGCAATTAACTGGTTCTAAAGGACCCAATTGGGTCCAAGTGTACTAGTATAAGTCTAGAACTAATGGTACTAGTAATTTTTTAAACACTCAAAGTTATAGGAAAGTTTACTCTTGGGAACAAGTTCTGGTGATTTTTGTACTAATAATATAATAGCTTGGTACTTGTTCCATTTCCCTATTGTTCATGAGATTTTCGAAAGTGTTTGGTGTTGTTAACGATAAATCCATTTCCCTTGAATATAGGTCTCGGATGAATTTGTTGGTGTTACATATGTACGTATGATAAACTTATACATAACCTTAATTACCACTGATGGTGGTGGAATTTAATACAAACTCACTAACTGGTTGTTTTTCTTACTGCTATTTCATATATTAACATTATCTTCTTTCTTTCCAGAAACCATCTAGATGTGAAGCTCTCTGTAGTTCTACCATATGATACCCTACACCAGTAAGCCCCAGCAAAAACTTTTAAAGTATGTAGTGCAAAGCTAATGTAATTTTTGGGGCTTTTTTTTAAAACAGTGCAAATATAATTCATTCTAAATATCTTCCTAAATTCAACCTATTCCGTAGTTAACAAGAAAAGAGTTTCAAGAAATTTCATCAAAGTATCTTCACAGAGGGAAAAAGAAATATACACGCCTGTTACCAAATTGACACCAAAGATTTTATAATTTTTCTATAACATCCGTTGTCAAAGTATATACATACGTACGACAACACTATGTAACAATTAGTTGTCGAAATCTAAATTTTGTACACATCCGTTATCTAAATGTTAACAAACGTGGTAAGCTCACTATTGACAAACAATCCCTTGCCAATAGTGAGCTTACCACGTTTGTTAACGCTTAGACAATGGATGTGTATAAAATTTAGATTTCAACAACGAATTGTTGCAATGTTGACAACGTTGCGTTGTCGTACGTATGTATATACTTTGACAACGGATGTTATTGAAAAATTATAAAATCTTTGTTGTCAATTTGGTACCAGGCATGTATATTTCTTTTTCCCTCTGTGTTAATCGACTTAGAAAGTGACTCTGTGTCGATCGGTATACTTTAAGGTGGGTGTTACAATATATATCCACCTATTATAGTGATGGTAAAGTAACAAAATATTTTAAATATTGAATTAGAATTTCTTAAAAAATCGTTAAAGATATAAAAAATCCCAATTTCATGAGACCAATCAATATTTTTTGTTCTCATTAATGTTAGTGCAGAAAATACAATCTTTTTTCATAACTTTACGTGTAAATATTGCAATTGATGTTAATTAAGCCAAGAATCCCTCACCTATTAGTTTTCTTAAGAAATCTTCACATCAGGTAGCCCTGATCACGTATCCAATAAGGTTTTTATAAGAAACATTTTAAACTAACGCCTTAAAGTCAGCAATTCATTTTATTATTATTTTAAAAGCTAACATTTGCAACTTGTATTCCTATGTTAAGAGTAAAAATTAATGTACATTAGACCGAATTGATTTTTTATAAAAATTTAAGATTTTTTCTATTATATGTATGTATTAATTTTCAGGATTACTTCTGAATTGTTATTCTGCAATTAAACAAAAGTAGCATTATATATTTTGAAAGATAATTTGATTTACAATTCATCGAAAAGAATAAAAATATCAAAAAATTGAGTAATTTCCGCAAAATTATTAAAATTTAAGAAAACTTATTTATATTTTTTGGGATGTAGAATCCCTATTGAGAACATTGTTGGTAATGATACATATGTATGTATGGTGTATGTATGTATGTGTATGTAGTATGTATGTATGTATGTATGTATGTATGTATGTATGTAGTAGTAGTATGTATGTATGTATGTATGTATGTATGTATGATGTATGTATGTATGTATGTATGTAGGTATGTATGTATGTATGTATGTATGTATGTAGTATGTATGTATGTATGTATGTATGTATGTAGTAGTATGTATGTATGTATGTATGTATGTAGTATGTATGTATGTATGTATGTATGTATTAGGTATGTATGTATGTATGTATGTATGTATGTATGTATGTAGGATGTATGTATGTATGTATGTATGTATGTATGTATGTATGTATGTATGTATGTATGTATGTATGTATGTAGTATGTATGATGTATGTATGTAGTATGTATGTAGGTATGTATGTATGTATGTATGTATGTATGTATGTATGTATGTATGTATGTATGTATGTATGTATGTATGTATGTATGTAGTATGTATGTAGTATGTATGTATGTATGTATGTATGTATGTATGTATGTATGTATGTATGTATGTATGTATGTATGTATGTATGTATGTATGTATGTATGTATGTATGTATGTATGTATGTATGTATGTATGTATGTATGTATGTATGTATGTATGTATGTATGTATGTATGTATGTATGTATGTATGTATGTATGTATGTATGTATGTATGTATGTATGTATGTATGTATGTATGTATGTATGTATGTATGTATGTATGTATGTATGTATGTATGTATGTATGTATGTATGTATGTATGTATGTATGTATGTATGTATGTATGTATGTATGTATGTATGTATGTATGTATGTATGTATGTATGTATGTATGTATGTATGTATGTATGTATGTATGTATGTATGTATGTATGTATGTATGTATGTATGTATGTATGTATGTATGTATGTATGTATGTATGTATGTATGTATGTATGTATGTATGTATGTATGTATGTATGTATGTATGT